CTCTGAACCTGGCGGCCTTCGTCAACACCTGCGACTGCCCTGCCTGACCGGGAGCTGCTTCAGTCCTGCACCGGACCTGTCCCCGTTCTGCGGTCGCTGCATGACCCTGGTCCACGTTCTGTAGCTTAGGTCCTGGATCTATAGCCCGTCCGTCCATGTGGAGCAGATCCCTCTCTCTCAATGTGGGTCTCTGAGGATTCTCACTTTTTTCCTACTGGGTTTTTGTGAGTTTTTCCTTGCCAATGCAGGAGGGTCTGTTGGACAGTTAGTGTCTAACTAAAAGGACTGTGGTGATGATCCAGGACACTTTAACATTCTACGACATGTATGGACATTTATCAACATGTGTTCTTTATTCTTTTTGTGTCTTAACTATTGATTCTCTGATATGTGTTCAATGGTTTTGTTAAATCCTCTGAGATGACTACTGTTGTGATTTAGGGCTATACAAGAATAACATTTATTGTATTAATAATGCATTGGTTTTATATAGCGCTTTTTTGGACACTCAAAGACGCTTCACATGTCATTATTCACTCACTCCATACACAGTGGTGATAAACTACTACTGTAGCCACAGCTGCACGCCGACCACCACCAACCATTCACACACACACACCAGTCATTCTAGGCAATGTGGGGTAAGGACACAACAGCGGACATCAGTGGGAGTCGGTGGAGAAAGTCCTGTGGCGAACTTGAAACCCACGACCATCAGGCTCAAAGGCCAATGTTCTAACAACTGAGCCATTGTCACCCCTCACTTTAGCCATTTTCAATTGGGATGGAACGTTTCAGATGTGTGCGAAAAGATAAATAATTCTACTTGGTAATTCTCATAATCAATATTAATATCGTGTTATGTTTTGTTCTTGCATTTTCTAGTGACAGTATACACTTCCCTCTCGGGGAAGGAGGAACATAGAACTTAAATTTATCTCAATTTATTCTTCCATTTGTTCATTTGGATTTTTTTGGCCATTTGCAGTCTGCAATTGTCATTCACTCAGCCACCACTCTCGCCTCTCAGCAAGAAGGTCCTGGGTTCGAATCCCGGTTGGACCAGGGCCTTTCTGAGTGGAGTTTGCATGTTCTCCCTGTGTCTGCGTAGGTTTCCTCCGGGTGCTCCAGTTTCCCCTACCACTAAAAATATATATATATATATGTACAATAGGTATGGCATGTGCCTCCTGTACTGGCCCCCCCACCCAACAATTGTAAACCGCTTTGAGACTCCGATGTGCAGTGAGAAGGCGGTATATAAATAAAGCTTACTTACTTCTTTGTGACATTCTTCACAAACGACTCAGGGACATGAGCTATTGGAAGGTATTAACACAACTAATAACTGTTAATACCTTCCATATTCCTTTTGATATTTCTTTTTTTAAGTAATACGTTTGTATTACTCTCCAACTGGCTCTCATAATGCTGATTATTTTATTTTTGTATATTTTTTAAGGAATGCATGAATGTAATTGCAACAATTTGAGGGCACAATACATTTTCTTTTCATATTTTATTTCTTATTGTTCTCAGCATCGCCCGTGTTCCCTCTGGAGAAGCTTTCCGCACTGGGAGCAGGGGTCACCTGCCGCAGTTCAGCTCGAGGGCTGTGTGTATGCGTCTGCGTAAGTACAAAAGATGCACTGGACATAATATTAACAGACATTTTGGTTAATGACTACAGGACTTATGGATTTTGAAGTGGGACGGTCTACAGCGGTCTTCAGTTCTCTTAACTCATTGACAGCCATTGTTGATGACTTCACTGATTTCCAAGTCTCAAGAATATTTTGAGCGATGACTATGAAAAATATGAAACCAGAGACTGAAAGAGTGGACTGTCTACTTTCAGCAGCAAAAATAAGTTTGTTTTTAGCTTATTTCATTCTCCTGTAATCTCTAGTCAAAAAGAGGGGAGTGTGACAAAAAGCACCTCTTAGAAAAAAAAGCTGAGAAAATGAGGCATTTGTGAAAATCCTGCAGAAAAGTGATTGTAACACTATTTAGTTTAAATTTAGCATCTCCTCAAACATGTCCAGGATTTTACATGTTAGAAAACAGCAACAACAAATTATGAGAAAGTGTTTTTTATGCAAAATAATATGTTTTATGGCACACACACCCACATCCACAAAGTGTTGTTTGAATATTTCAAAATGTACTCATCCAAAAAACATCAACATTTACATATTGAAAATGGAGCCCATGACAAACTATGCCAGAAAGAATTGTCACGACCCCTTCCTCCTCTCTGTGGTCGTGCTCGGTACTGCCTTGTGGATCTGTGCGCAGGTGGAGCTGTGGGCGGACCTTTGGTGCGTGGTGCGTCAGGGCCAGTGGGGGAGGGTCCCAGCTCAAAAGTGGCCAAAATGACGTGCGCTGACATGCTTGCAATACCACCCCGGGCCGATGGGGGTGGACCCAGAAGAAGAATTAGCCAATGCTAAAATATAGCGTTGGCAGACCTCTCAAAAACGTCTTTACAGGATGGACCAAAAGTTGGCTCTTGGCCCAAAGCTCCGTTCCACATGTGTGTCAATGCTGAGGGGGGTGAATTTTTTTGGTCCACTCTATTTTACTCACGGTGAATTTTTGAAGTCTCTTGTTCAAATGAATGGAGCTGCGCCGCTGACGCATGCACAGATGCGTTTTTTCACATTTTTCTTGTGGGCGGGACCACTCGCGGCCATCTTGGATTGCTCCATGAAAGCACTTTTCATGGCCAACTCCTATGAACGGCGGAGATAGGCGTGACTCTGTTCGTTATTATATACAGTCTATGGTCAGGGCCCAACGCCCCACGCCTATTTATGGACCTGCCTGCTGACAGTCTCACTCTCTTCCAGCCTGCATCCTGTGCCACACCACTTTGTTTTCTGTTCCCGTTATGGTTTTGTTCCGCATCAGACCTCACCTCGCACCATACACACATTCATACACACAATCATTCGATCGCACTGATCCTACAGACAATCACACCTCATTATTTTTACTTGGGTTTATACTTCGGTTAATCTTCTTTTAAAATAAAACACCCTTTAAGTATCCCGTTTCGTTGTCTGCGTCCACATTTGTCATGGCCTTGAGCCAGGTTATGACAGAATGGCCATCCATCCATTGGGTGGCGCTACAAAGTGTCGTTCAGTTTAGTCTAGCAAGCGTTGTGACCATAACTGGACTTTGCCGCTAATTCCTGGTGTGGACTCAGTGATAGTTATAGCAATAATCCACTTTCCTGTGGCTTTTTTGGGGGTGCACTGCTGGTCTGCTGCTCTGATCCTCCACATGGTCTCTGTCAGTTCTGGAGACACATTTACAGCTCAAACTGCCTGATCCTGACTATATTAACTCCATGCCTGCTTCACTTCTGTCTCTCCTGCACACAGTGCTCAGACAGATCTTTGACCAAGACAGCCACAGAGTTCTGCTGCCACCTGCTGGCTTAATTCAATACTGTCTACAGCCAAACTCCATACAGGGGATACAAAAGGAGTAGCCTGGTCGTAACACACCATAGTACAAATTACATTTCGTACTAAGGTCTGGAGGCGCTCCATTGAGCTCCGTTTACAGATAGGAGGGGTTAAATCCTTTTTCAGATTGAAACGATTGGATCTGACACCGGACTCTTGCCTAATTAATTTTCTAAAAGATTGTTGTTCGGATTGTTTTTTGACATAACTGTGGTCCTCCATGGTTCCCAAACTTGTGAAGGCACGGTGAAAGCAACAATATCAGTAGCTCATGTGAAACAAAAACGGGATTCCTGCGACCTTTTTGTCCCTTATCCACTACTGTTTTTCAAGATGGCGCATTGACATGGAGAGCACTCCGCTCTCATAGACATTTATAAGTTGAATTCTAAGCTTATGAAAACAATTGAAAAAACATGGAAGTAAATATTCTTATTCATATTCTTCTTAAGGTCAAATTTGTTATTAGTAAACATAGTTTTTCATATGAAGCAGCTGTAAAAATTACACAGGGTGGCACAAAAGCTACATACACAAAATCATCCCTGCTTTATTCAAATGGTTGGGGGATTCCCTTTAACGGAATATGGTCACAATAATACAAAAACAGATGCTTGATTAAATCAGTCACAATTTACTGTAAGATCCCCAAATATGGTAATTCTTCCACTGATAGTATCCAAATGAGAGGAGTGACCTTTGCAGTGTCTCTTATTTACACATGATGTGATGATGATGTGTCCTCTCATGAGTCCTCCTTCTCCTGATATCTGTAAACAAAGTTAGTGAGTGACAAAATAATACAGATTTATCCATCGTATATTGGAGATGGTTTTTTGTAGTTATTTATGTCCAATGCACACTGTAAAAATAACAACAAAACAGGTGCATTCATCTTCAACTTACATTTGATATTTTATGTGCAAAAAACCCCAAACTAAAATCATATATTTGTGTGCAGCCCACGTCTATAAAGAGAAAAGTACTATAGTAATTATAGATGTTCCTCATTAAAAACAGGCTAAGATCAGGAACTTCTTGCCAAACAAATCAGTGAATGAACATTTATGTACTATGTGTAAAGTCTTCTTTGTGTTGTATTCTGTGTTCTGTGTGGTGCTACTGACCCTACTCCAAGACTGAATCACATCCCACTGCCCCTTCTGTTTGGCTGAGTGAGGGTGGGTGGTCATACTTTTTTGCCTGAAAAAGCTGATCTGATGATGTGACAGATGCCAACAATACATGCAAATGGTTTTGAGAGCAAGGAACCCATGACTTACGTTTAATACGACTTCTCTTTGTGTGTAGTTTGTAGTTGTGGCCCAAAAGGAGCCGTTTGATCTTTGTACTTCACAAGTTTGTACTTGACAATCTAAAACATTCACACTTTGTTCAGAGAATTTGCTACATTCTCTGAACACAGGACTTTTTTTTCTCTTTACATTGTTGGTCCAAATAAATTGTAAATTGGATGTTTTGGATATAATGGTGCAGCACTCTAATCAGAGCCACACAGCCTCATAAGAGCTGTGCAACAGCCCAGCCGTACCTGCAGTGTATACAGGTGAAGAAGACGGTCTGGCCTTCATCAGCGGATCGCATCTGCCTGGTGTGGTAGACCATACCTTCTTTGTTACAGCGGGAGCAGCGCCTGTCAATCTGAGGAGGGCAGACACATGTATTCAGCCTCTGGTTATGGATCTACTTTCACAACACAACCTAGTCAAAGTAAAAAGACTCCCAAATGAAAAATCAATACGGGTCTGCACAGTCTACAAATGTTCTGCTCAAAACAAATGGATGTAAGTAAGGTTACTGTTTTTCTCCCCTGCATTTGACTCCATCAAAAACACTAGGCCTAGGGTCTCTCTCAGGAGCCATGGTCGCAGCAGTACAGTATACAGTGCATTGCGAAAGTATTCGTCCCCCTTGAACCTTTCAACATTTCAGGCTTCAAACATAAAGATATAAAACATTTATTTTTTGTCATGAATCAACAACAAGTGGGACACAATCGTGAAGTGGAACAACATTTATTGGATAATTTAAACTTTAACAAATAAAAAACTGAAAAGTGGGGCGTGCAATATTATTCGGCCCCTTTACTTTCAGTGCAGCAAACTCAGTCCAGAAGTTAAGTGAGGATCTTTGAATGATCCAATGTTGTCCTAAATGACTGATGATGATAAATAGAATGCACCTGTGTGTAATCAAGTCTCCGTATAAATGCACCTGCTCTTTGATAGTCTCAGGGTTCTGTTTAAAACGCAGAGAGAACCATGAAGACAAAGAAACACACCAGGCAGGTCCGAGATACTGTTGTGGAGAAGTTTAAAGCCGGATTTGGATACAAAAAGATTTCCCAAGCTTTAAACATCTCAAGGAGCACAGTGCAAGCAATTATATTGAAATGGAAGGAGTATCAGACCACTGCAAATCTACCAAGACCCGGCCGTCCCTCCAAACTTTCATCTCAAACAAGGAGAAGACTGATCAGAGATGCAGCCAAGAGGCCCATGATCACTCTGGATGAACTGCAGATAACTACAGCTGAGGTGGGAGAGTCTGTCCATAGGACAACAATCAGTCGTGCACTGCACAAATCTGGCCTTTATGGAAGAGTGGCAAGAAGAAAGCCATTTCTCAAAGATATCCATAAAAAGTCTCGTTTAAAGTTTGCCACAAGCCACCTGGGAGACACACCAAACATGTGGAAGAAGGTGCTCTGGTCAGATGAAACCAAAATCGAACTTTTTGGCCACAATGCAAAACGATATGTTTGGCGTAAAAGCAACACAGCTCATCACCCTGAACACACCATCCCCACTGTCAAAAATGGTGGTGGCAGCATCATGCTTTGGGCCTGCTTTTCTTCAGCAGGGACAGGGGAGATGGCTAAAATTGATGGGAAGATGGATAGACCCAAATACAGGACCATTCTGGAAGAAAACCTGTTGGAGTCTGCAAAAGACCTGAGACTGGGACGGAGATTTATCTTCCAACAGGACAATGATCCAAAACATAAAGCCAAATCTACAATGGAATGATTCACAAATAGACGTATCCAGGTGTTAGAAGGGCCAAGTCCAAGTCCAGACCTGAATCCAATCGAGAATCTGTGGAAAGAGCTGAAGACTGCTGTTCACAAACGCTCTCCATCCAATCTCACTGAGCTCGAGCTGTTTTGCAAGGAAGAATGGGCAAGAATTCCAGTCTCTCGATGTGCAAAACTGACAGAGACATACCCCAAGCGACTTGCAGCTGTAATTGCAGCAAAAGGTGGCGCTACAAAGTATTAGCGCAAGGGGGCCGAATAATATTGCACGCCCCACTTCAGTTTTTGTTATAAAAGTTTAAATTATCCAATAAATTTTGTTCCACTTCACGATTGTGTCCCACTTGTTGTTGATTCTTGACAAAAAATTTAAGTTTTATATCTTTGTTTGAAGCCTGAAATGTGGTGAAATGTTGAAAGGTTCAAGGGGGCCGAATACTTTCGCAAGGCACTGTATGTATGTAACATCTGTACACGTGAGCAGCATGAGGGTATGGGACAGTGAACACATGTGGTTTCAAAATTGCACATTCTGACATTAGTTCAAGTTATTGCACAGATACACGACATGTGAAGTCAGGTGTTTGTTAGTCCTCATTGTTCGTTGTACAGACTTACAGCAGCAGAGCCTCTCCTTCACACAACAAGGATGAAGTTGACGACACGCGTGGCCTGTACACAAACCATGTGTGCCAATGCGCATACATGTCACAATCTATACGCCCATATGTTCTCCTCTAAGATAAGATAAACCTTTATTAGTCTCACAGTGGAGAAATTTCAGTGTCATCGTTGCGCACATTACAGCAGAGAGGAAATAAGAGTTGTTAGTTTTTATATTTGGTCCACGGAGCAGTGTGTCTTAGGTGTGAGGTTGGTGATAAATAAAGCCAAGACAACTCTGGTTTAGCAGGCTCTTGGTGGAGAGCAGTTTATTTGTTTATGTTTAGTCATCTGTGTTAAAAGCATTGAGAGGTCCACTCACACGTTTTATTCAGATCCCAGTACAGATAACTAGTAGTCAAGAAACCAGATAACCAATGACAGAATAGAATCAAGATCCTTTACATAGCAGAACATAAAGCTTACCACTGGCCCCTTCAGCTCCGCATTGTCGTCCTCCTCCAGAGCCACAGTGGACTGCTCCGGGTTGAACACCACTGAGGTGCGGATCTCTATACCCGCAAACTCTGCACAGACAGAGGGGGATGACCACAGGACTGAGGTGTGAACACAGGACTGCAGTAACCATGAGCCCAGTACACAGCTTACCTGTGACAGGGATGCTGAAGCTGCAGCGAGGACAGCGCACCACGTCCTGCATCCCAGGGAGAGGGAGCACATTCCCACACTCCGGACAGAAGTTTGGGTCTCCAGCAAAACACGACATCCCCTGACAATTCTAGGTCAAAATAAATTAGATATAATGCACATCACTTTTGGCGATAAATAATGATGAGACCATTTATTTTGTCATTTCAAATTATCTTCTTTAAATGGTGGAATATGTGGGAAGGGTAAATAATCCTGCTCAATCCCTATGCTTCCACCAGTGCGAAGAGTTGAATTTGTTTTGTTCACTTTAAAAATTGAACATTATCAACTGGAAACACAGACATGTGATTGTAAAGAAAGTGAAATTACCAAAAACAATGTATAGGCAATACTTTTGTTTCAAAAGGCAAGTGGATCCTACTGCTAAAGGACTGGGAAAGGAGAAGGGGGCGGCGTTTGAGCTAAAATTACGGATTTTTGATTCAAAACAACCCTGGGTTTGTTTTTGATGAGGATCAATTATGTAACATGAAAACAGGAAAAAGTAAAATTTGCAGAATGTGACACGAGTCTCTTCGTAAGCTCGCGCCTGACATGATGCAGTTTCCTCATAAGATCATAGCTTTAATGGGGTTATGGTTAATTTAAATAAATCGACTAACTAAAACTCCCAGAGCAGTCGATATGACGGCTTTTAGTTTTGGAAGGGTAATGACTCGGCTCATGTATATTTTGCTTCATAGCTTTGTGACTTTTCGGTTTCTATACATAGTATAATTCTTACTTGTATAGTCTATGACTAACTAGTTATGGACTAGTCCTGGTTCTGAACCGGGTAGAGCGACGCACTGTTTACTTGCTGTAGTTAGCTTGGGTTCTAGCATTAAGCTTTCCACTCAGGTTGTCATGAGTGCCTGATTAGTCATCATAGTATCTCAAAAGGCTGACGCTACAACCACTGAAGATAGTTAACGACATACAAACTTGCCTTTTATCAGTCGACAGATGAGTTCAGACGTAGAGCCTGTGTACATGGGAGACGTTAAATGAACGGAAAAGCCATACGCGTTTCGCTTTATAGATCCGTGGTGTGCTTCTGTTATTGAGGTCGCAGGTTAGTGACGTCCTTGTAAGTCGCAGTTACAATAAAAGAATAAAAAATAAAAAAGAGCTCTACCTTAATACTACGTTGTCTATTCTAGCCCATTAAACTTTGTAGTAAATGATGAAATAATGACTGCTCAAAGTTATTGTAAAGCTGTATTTGTTAATCCTTGGCGTTCCTGAAGGGGTCGGCGAGCTTCCGTACTGTAGATAAGGATATACAATAATATCTGTAATAATAGATCCATAACTGTAGACTGACATGTTAAAATAGGGCGTGTGCTGAAGCTCCACCATTTACAGTTAGTGCCGTTCATAGACCGTTATAGCCTAGTGTGATGGTCCGTGTGTGATTACTTTCTGGAAAGCATGGAGCGGCTGCAGGGAGCATGGACGAGGCACTTCGGAGCAGACTGCTTCGCGCTTCGAAGGAAAAGCAGTTTGGGCTCATGGCAGAGTCTGATATACGCGTAGACCGCGGACTAGAGTTCTGTGGCATATCTAACATATAACGTATACACTGTGCAGTCGTTTCTTTTGCACTGGTCCTGTCTTTGTTACCGCGGTAAAGTGGCCCGCATCTTTCAGCTCTATGAACAAGCGGCCCGCATCGGGGAAAATACGGTGCGCGTTTCTTTGAGAATTTACGGTAACAGCGGAACATCCTTTTGGATTCACCCATTTTTATCGAACAGAAAGCGCGCTGGGGTCTGGGAGACACGTTTTTGTGATTAAAACCTTATAGAGAGATGCCACCCGGTACACATAGCACCAGCCCCCTACGATTCCTCCTGCAGATTGTGAGTCCTCAGGAGGATAGCCACTCTATTGTTTACATATATAAAGTACACAATTTGGTCCGCTAGTGCAATTTTCAAGTATTGTAACTATTTACTGGAATAAGGTGTGCGACTAATTTCACTTGACTCATGACCTTATTATTGCCCTCTACCACTGTACCAAAGACCATAAACTTTTACTGTAGAAATATTGAGAAATATTCATTTAAACTAGCCCTTTTGGTCCAAAATAGCCTAAAAATGGTCAAAACATGTCACATTTGATCTACTGTAATTTTTTACTGTAAAAAGGTGTGCGACTAATTTCACTGGATTCATGACCTCATGATTGCCCTCTACCACTGTACCAAAGACCAGAAACTTTTACTGTAGAAATAGAGAAATATTTATTTAAAGTAGCCATTTGGGTCCAAAATAGCCTAAAAATGGTCAAAAAATGTCACTTTTGATCTACTGTAACTTTTTACTGTAAAAAGGTGTGCGACTAATTTCACTGGATTCATGACCTCATGATTGCCCTCTACCACTGTACCAAAGACAAGAAACATTTACTGTAGAAATATTGATTTAAACTAGCCCTTTTGGTCCAAAATAGCCTAAAAATGGTCAAAACATGTCACTTTTGATCTACTGTAACTTTTTACTGTAAAAAGGTGTGCGACTAATTTCACTGGATTCATAACCTCATGAATGCCCTCTACCACTGTACCAAAGACCAGAAACTTTTACTGTAGAAATATTGAGAAATATTGATTTAAACTAGCCCTTTTGGTCCAAAATAGCCTAAAAATGGTCAAAACATGTCACTTTTGGTCTACTGTAACTTTTATTGTGGAAATTTTGAGAAATAATTAGTCAAAGTACCCCCCTTTACCCCCACAGTAAATACAGGACAAAGGAAGCTGCAGAGAGGCAGATCTACACACAACTAACCATATCGTCTTTAGTGCTTACATAAAAAGGAATGATGTGAGTTCTAGTAAATTAATTTCTATCTTCCTGCTCACAATTACTAGCAAATATTAAGATTAAGAGATCCTTTATTTGTCCCACAGTGGATAAATGTCAGTGTTGCATCACAAGTTATAGAACAGGAAAGAGGAGCACACAACACAAGATTAAGCAAGCATGACTGAAAGTGTCTGTTGGCACACTCTTCTCCCCACTCCGTAAATGGTAAAGTATCTTAAGTCTTTCCAATGACAAACACTCAGTCTCAGTCATAGTTGTCCTTGTGCTTTCCAAAAGCACAAGAACAACTACGGGAAAGAACAAATTTGTTCTTAAGTCCTACATACAAGGATTTTACCAAGATTGTGGCATTCATGAATTTTTCTCTCATCAGGATTTCTCTTGGGTAAGAACAAATCCTGCGGACACTCAGGAGTACTCGTAAGCATATTTCAGTGCTGACATGTTGGCAGGCTGGTGTTGTCTTTTGTTAAGTTCAATAAAATACAATATTTCAGTGTTATGTCTGTCATACTCCCCTTCTGGACTGCCACATTAACGTGGTGGGGGAGTTTGAGTCCTTGGGAGGGGTACTGGACAGTGCACTGACCGGGGACTCCGTTATTCTACTAGGGGACTCCAACGCCCATGTGGGAAACAAAATGTGACAGGTGGAGAGGGGTGATTGGGAGGAACGGTCCCCCTGATCTGAACCCGAGCGGTGTTCAGTTGTTGGACTTCTGTGCTACTCAGTTTGTCCATCACGAACAGAACGTCTCGCTGAGCCGTGTCAGACAGACATTCACCTCACACCTTCGGGATAGCTTCTCCCAGGTCCCGGGGGAGGAGGGGGACATCGAGTCTGAGTGGACCATCTTCTCCACCTCTGTTGCCGAAGAGGCGGCTCATAGCTGTGGTTGCAAGGTCTCTGGTGCTGGTCCCGGCGGCAACCTGGTGGTGGACACCGGTAGTAAGGGATGCCGTCAGCCTGAAGAAGGAGTCCTATCAAGCCATGATGGTTCGTGGGACTCCTGAGGCAGCTGTTCAGTACTGGCAGGCCATGCGTGCTGCAGCCCGGGCTGTTGCAGAAGCAAAAACCCGGGACAGGGAGGAATTTGGAGAGTCCATGAAGCATGACTATCGGTCGGACTATCGCTCAAAGACTCCGGCGCCTCAGGAGGGGGAAGCAGTGCTTTGCCAACACTGTACGGTGCGGGTGGAGAGCTGCTGACCTCGACTGGGGATGTCGGGCGGTGGAAGGAATACTTCGAGGTTCTTCTCAATCCCCCCGTCACGTCCTCCATTCCGGAGGCAAAGGATGTTGGAGTGGATACTTCTATCTCTCTGGCTGAGGTCACCAAGGTGGTTGCCAGCCTCCTTGGTGACAAGGCTCCGGGAGTTGATGTGATCCACCCTGACTATCTACGTATATACTGTATAAATGTGTGTGTGTGTTCTTAAAAAATCATAATTAATTGAACATTTATTTATGTATTAATTATTTTGGAGGTTTTGGTCCTCCATACTTAAGAATGTTGTAGTTTCCTCTGAATGGCGTCTGCACACGGCCCTGTATTCCCTTTTATGGGCCTTAATGGATTACCTATGCAACGACTCACCTGGCACACGCTCAATTAACAAAGAGATGGCATTCATCTAACTAAGAAGAGCACCGAACAATTCAGCGGCTTAAGAATGTGTTGATGAATCCGACATAGGGTCTTCTTAAGAATCTTCTTAAATTTCTTAAGATATCGGTGAATGAGGCCCATTGTCGACAGATGCGAGTCACTGGACATTAGTAATAACATGAGCATTTACTGGAATCGCGTGAGAATTTGCGAGCAGCGTATTTAAAAAGAAGACAGCTGGGACATGAGGGCAAATATCAAAATAGTTGCATTTATTGATAATGTATTAAAGTTATAAACAGATCAGGCAGTGGTTGTATGCGTCACCTGACAGGCCTGCAATTTCCAGCAAAATACTGTCAAAGAGGCAGTGGTTTTGCAACAAACCTACAGAACCCTAACTCATCTGGATGTCTTCAATTACACAGATCCACCACTATCCAGCGATGTCGTCCAGAAAGAACATCAAGATGTTTATCTTCATTTGCTGTCATGAGAGAGCTGCAAAATCACAGAGACTGACATGGCTTTCGTTTAATAGTAAAACAAAATAACGTCATTTTTAAAATAATCGACAGTGAGCTCGACATGTTTAGGGCATTTTCACACATCTTGTTGTGTGTGATACAGTTTCTAATAGTGTTCAAGTTTAACAAGGTTATACGTTAAAGCTGCACTAACTGACTTTGGGATTTCGAAGCAGCGGTTTCGCTGGCCTCGCTCTTTTTTCCTCCCCTCCCCGCACCCACAAAGCTATCGCCCCCCACTACCCCACACCCACTGTTGTTTACAGAGCTAGCGTCTCATGGATAGATCCATGCATGGATTGCACATTTGAACGTGGATGGCGTGACCATAGAAAGATAGAACCGGGAAGCGCAGAGAGAACGAGACTTTCTTTTGGATGGCTGTTTCGCTGTGTAAGCAGAAACCGGTAACGAAGACACAGGAAGGGGCAGGTTAGCCTCCGCTGCTTGTTGTGCTAACTCAGCTGTCTGTGCTAACAAGAGACCTGTAGCTTTTCTCAAGAAAAGCTACACAATCAGGACCCAAAACACATTCTCTGCCTTGTTGCGCAAAAACTCGATCAAGATCAAATGACACGCCAGCACAAATCTGCGCTACTTTTTCCTCAAAAGGACATCTATCCCAATGCATTGCATGGATAGAATTTTCGTAATGAATACAAAAATAAAGTCAGTTGGTGCAGCTTTAACTGAAAATAGAACAACTTATCAACTATTCACAGGCCTCGGTAGTTTCTTACTACTAGTGCCAGGTTTCACCAGAGAAATTGTCAGAACTAATTTGAAAGCAATGCTAAAACGGCTCTGGACATAGGCTGTTCCATAGTAAAGATTAGTCATAGAGTAATGACGTTGAGAAGGGTGGGTCGTGTTTTTGTGCTAGACGTTCCTCATATTATATTCACCAGCAGAGGAAATGAGAAACAACATTTATATTTTTTGTCTCAAGTGTGAACGCACCCTAAAAAAATCAATTTGATTTTTGGAGAGCGCATTATTGTCAAAGCATACCATTTTTTAGACTTCAAAGTGACGTGAATGGGCATAATCCGCATACAACTATTCGGTACCCCTTTTCACAAAAAATGACCCAAAAAAACTTTTGGATAAGTTTTTAAATACGATTTTCAAATATATGAAAAGTTTCAATTATATTCAAATTTGGCATATTAACACTTGGGGACACTCAGAGACTTACAATTGGTAATTGTAAGTCTCTGATAAATTACACTTTGATTTATAATCAACTGGAAGCAACACAACGAAGGGTCTTCTACGACAGTAAAAGTTCTACTGGCCCATTCAAATGGCGGATTCCTAATCCAGGATAGTGGTATTGCGCTAGTTAGCAAGGAATTAGAGGTAATTACAAAATACATTTATGGAGCAGAAGTGTTCAATATTTTCAATGTGGATAGTTTGTCAATATTTCATCTTTTGATTCTATGCTTCACATTATAGACCATTACAGTTTCTTGAGTACAGTTACCAGGGCTGGGCGATATAATCGAGGAGTGTGGCTGCTGGATTCGTCCCCGAAACCGGATTTGTCCAGAAGTTAAGTTTGCGCATGTCAAAAAGAGTAAATAAACATGTATACAGTTTGTGTTATATTCAGATTATATTATTGATTTGTGCTCATATGTATCGAGGTTTATCACAAGAAAGGCACACGAAAGGCACACGAATTGAGGCAAACACAGACAGTTTAATTCTTGATTAGATTCACTGTCCTTTACTTGTTTAACTAATAAATAAATGTGTTCGAGACTTGGCGTTTTTTTTTTTTTTTAATGTACGGTAACGGGATAAATTTTTACAATTGGTTATTGCAAATATGGAACTTAAAAATGGGTGGTTTTATGGCGCCCTCTCTAGGTCACACACTAAATGTCAAGGAAATGCTTAAAGTATCAAATAAACATACAGCGCTAAAATTGAAATTTTAAATAAGTAACAATCTTGACTATTTTATACAAGAACCTGCTAGACCTATATTGAAATTCACACACCAAATTATACCGCAATTATACCGTAATATGAATTTTAGGCCATATCGCCCACCCCCAACAGTTACAGTTGAGTACAGTTACTCAAGCAAAACATAAATAAAGGGGGATAAGCTTTGTACCATTTAGTACGTTTAAATATTAGTTTTATATTTTTAATTATTGGGTTCAGTGTTCAACAGGACCCAGAGGCCACACCCCCTCCATCGCCACTAAAAGAAAAGGGGAACCTTCAAGCCTCCATTTCTGCCACACTACTCCATTCTACAGAAGGTGGAAAAGCCGTACACTGAAACCTCTGTGTTACATTCTGTTGTGTTAATGGCACTGCAAAAGCCTGTGATGACCAGTCTCTCTAGCGCTGAGGAAAACTGACTCGTTGTGGACCTTGAGGATACAAATACATTTCATCAGTTGTTAAAGGGAAAGTGCGATACTGAAATTCTATTATGATGCATTTACAGAAACTTTTCATTTTTCCCATTAACAAAAGTTTTATCATTTAAATAGCAGATTTCCTGGGTTATTATTTTCCATTATCCCCTTGTATTCATATAAAGTATTTAAAAGTTGGATGCTAAATCAACGGATGTAAGAAGACATTCTGATTTCATATCAGCCGCTCAATTTTTTTATTTTGACACAAGCAAAGCTGTAGATGAGTTCCATGAGATGAGAAGTTTCACAAGCAAAAAATGCCCTTTATTCTTATCACCCAAGCAGCTCAGTATCTGTGATCAAAAACCCGGGAGTATCAATAATTTGACATTTTGATTCAAAATCTAATTTCTTTTATCAGAACCTCGTGCCATCCCTTTAACAAAGCTGAAAAACATGACGGTTTTCAAAGCAGATGGGCCCAGGACCAAGGCACAGTGCCAATAACCTGGGTCCAGTGTAGTCCTGAAGAAGCACCAGATACTGCCCACGTGTCTGTCCCAGCAGAGCCTCCGTCCCCTGCTGACAACCAGAGGGACCAAACCCCCATTTGAGGTGGAAAATGCAAGATGCATATCCTCACAATCACTTCTGGACCCCTCTGCCGGTAAGCACAGGTGCTATCTTTGGTCTTGGCCGCTCCTATTTCAAAAACTTCCACTCAGCTCCAGCTGGTGTCATACTGTGTCCATCCTTCAGGGGGAGCCAAATAGACCCTCCGGCCCCTGTAGAGGAAGCTCACCACGCCCCTGTATCCTGTCCGGGGTACGCCTGACTTTAGGTCGTCCATGGCACCCAAGTTTCGAGCAAACACTTTGAAAGTGTCGCGGCTGGAGTACTGCACCCTGTAGGGCCCGGGCTCCCTCAGCTTGCCCCCCTGTAGTTCCTCCATCCTGACCAGGGGGGCACTGTACACCTCGATGATGAACTTCTCGTCGTACTTGCCCTTCAGTAAGTAGGATAAGTCGTGTTTTGTAAAAGGCACAAACTCCATGTTCAGCCTGATGTAGCGCAGGTATTGGTCGAAGAATTGACCTAAGCTGACTCCTTTCCTCCCGAATGTGATGGTGCGCGAGATCTCGGGCCTCACGCAAGAGCGCTCGCGCCGCTGCTCCGGCTGCCTCATCCAGTCGTCCCAGAAGGCTGTGGGCCACTTGGGCTCCAGCTCGGCCCACAGGTCTCGGAGTAGCATCCAGCCCAGGCCAGGGAAGAAGTCTGTGCGGTGCAGCACATGGGTCTTTGCCGGGTCTACCAGGGCATCACGGCCGTTATCGTTCCACGCAGAGATACACCACAGGGACAAGTCGTCCCGCAGGATGGGGTACAGCGCTCGGAAGTACTCAAAGAAGTCTGGCGCCACCTGGAGGGAGAGAGGCATGATGAAAACAGCTTTTAATAAGTAAATAATCTTTATTTATATAGTGCCTTTTACAGACCAGAGTCACAAACCGCTTTACGATTGTTAGACATTCAATAAGGAAAAGAGGAATTCAACCTTTACCTGATGGAGAGCTACACTGTGAGCTTCTCCTTGAATCTACAGAAATATAATTTATTTAATATAATGGGCAGTTTGTACGCTTCTAAATGATCATTATTTAGTGTAATGTAACTGTCGCAAGTATAAATTGTACATTTGTTTTGGGGCTAATGCAGCTTCCTGAGAGCTCCTTTTTACAGAGTACTTTCAAACCTTGAATTAGTATGACTTTTTGATTCTTTTGGGCAGGGAACTTGAAGTTAGTAGACGTTTTATTCCATTTAGCATCTAACTGAAACTAAGTTCATTTGAGTAAAAAAAAAAATTGCAATTAAGTATTTATTTTTCACCCAATTCACAGAGCACCAGTCCCTCAGTGAGTCCACAGGAGAATGGCTTCTCTGTCGGTGACAACACAGCCTTGATCTTTCAACGTGGGGCTTAAGGCAAAGTGGGGTTAAGTGTCTTCAACAAAGAAACGACAGCAGACATCAGTGGGAGTCAGTGGAGAAGGTCTCATGGTGGGCTCGAACCCACATCCCTCAGGCTCGAAGGCCAATGCTCTACCAACTAAGCCACTGTCGCCCCCAGTGGTTATGTTTAGTTTACATTAGTGAAGGAAATTTAACATATCACTTTTTAAAAAATATGGGTATTCTTTATGGCGTTTATGAACAAATGTAGTTGTACTTAAATTTAAACAGAACTGGAGAAGATTAAATATTACCCATTGCTTTTTGGATTTAGTCACTAGAGTAAAAAAAATGACATGGTAGTTTTCCTGAGAGAATAATCTTTTAAATAAAGGTACAAACAGGCCATAGTACCATACTAAGATGCAAAACTTCATTGGGTATCAACTCCCATTCATTTAAATAGGAGCCACCAACAGCTAAAAATCTGTAATAATAACAATAATCAGATAAAATATATTGCAAAATAAAATAAAAAGGAGAGTCACAACATTTCACGTGAGGTATATAAGAGGCAATAACCGACAAAATAGATTATAGAACAGCGACTATAATGTCAGCATATGGTGAAGCTGGATGTAATAAAACTGTCATAAAAGGCATTATCACATGACTGAAGAATAAAACTCCCTGCTTTGCTTGCACCATACAGAGGAAGTGACAGGCAGATACCACTGAAACAAGGAAGGTAAGCTCAAAGCCTTTCTGCCTTATGAACACGGAAGGTAAGCTTCAAGCCTCTCTGCTTTAGGAACACAACTATGGAGGTTATTTTGTGTTCTGTCCCTTTCATATCGACGTTAAAAAGGGACAATGTTTTGCTGTAAACCTGTCGTGTGTAGATGCTGCAGAAGTTTGTTCTCGTGGGCCTGTGTGGGCTTGTGTCCTGCTATATCACGTGTCCTGATGGGGAAAAGTGTAATGACCAGGCAGACTGCTGTTTGACTGAGCGCGGGTACAAGTGCTGTCCTTACCCAAATGTGAGTCCCTTTGTGTCAAAAAGCCTTTCACATATACTGAAGCCACAAATAATCAGAAATAACTTTGAATTTAGTATCAGTCATTTCCAAGCATGTCTGCATTCACAAAGAAAATACATTAAAAGAACTTTCACTTCCTGTAAACAATTACTCAATTTCTGTACAGTTAATATATTAAGGAGTGCACGAAAGGGAAAAAAACATGATTGTGTATCATGTCCTATATCACAAAAGAATAACTGACGCTGTTTCAACATTCAAATTCAACATTATTTTTATAAATAATAAAATAATTGGTACTATTATTTCTAAATACATTCAAAATATAATGTTAATATAAATGCAAAAGAAAGCCTATGTAATAGAAATAATATATGTTTGTAATGTTACAACATTACAACGCATCCCTTCCCTTCCTTCACCGCGGTAATGTGGCCCGGCTTTTCAAAGTCTGCTGTAATGGGCTCCACACATTAAAAGCGGTCGACCCCTTTTGGCAGTTGGGGTCGAAATGTGCAATATTGCGCCAAAATGCACTTTTTAATATTTGTATTAATCTGAAGAGGTTAACGACTACTTTCACTGCACACTTGTTCACTGTGATGTTCTCTACAACGGGCGCAATGATATATTTTCCACCTAGGGCGCCTGATTGCCTAGAGCCAGCCCTGCGCCCCTGCTTTACGACCACATGTTATTGTATTTCGGTTCCCAAGATATTTGGCAAGCAAAATAAGAAAATACGCAATTGGATTGTTTGGAATAGATAATTATTTTAAGGTGGTAATCAAACACAGGTCTTTTGACTCAAGCCGAACATATACAATACAGGGATCAAGAGTTCCGAGCTTCCGGCTCGACCGCACGGCATTGTGGGTAGTATTCCCAAAAAAGTGGGCATGAAATCACGCTCTCCTATTAGATTACCTGTTGCGAGCGTGATTGGGCTCTTGTTTTTCCAGCCCATTGATTGTTTATCGCTACAAAAATCACCAATTTCAGACATTTAGAAGGTAAAGATTTTTTCATGTAACAAAACAGCAATGCATTTTTTTTCTTGTGGTTTCAGATGTAAACACAACCGACTGACGATAGAACTAGGACGCAGCTTATGCTACTTACGAGGATTGAATGCTTACACGCGAGCTTTATAAACTTACCCAAAGCTGTACTTTGGACATAGAGCCCTCAGAGCGATTCATGAACTTATAAATAACATTTGTGATCAGAGCATTCAGAGTGGGGACATTATTAAGAACAAACAGTGAGCTGGCAGTATAGAGAGGTGTGCAGTAGGCTTTAAACAAAGTTATTTTCACTTTATCTGTACACATGTGAAATCTCCGTGCTTAAGTGTTAGCCTGTCCGTACAGGTATTCTCTACTTTCAGAAGCTCCACACCAGACAAATATGTCCAAAGTACAGCTTTGGGCAAGTTTATAAAGCTCGCGTGTAAGCATTCGATCCTTTTAAGTAGCATAAGCTGCGTGTGGCTCTATAGACAGTCGGTTGTGTTTACATACAAAACCACAAGAAAAAAAATTCATTGCTTTTTTTGTTACATGAAACAATCTTTACCTTACCATCTAAATGTCTGAAATTGGTGATTTTTGTAGCGATTAAAACAATCGATGGGCTGGAAAAACGAGAGACAGATCACGCTCGCAAAAGGTAATCTAATAGAACGTGATTTTATGCCCACTTTTTTGGGAATACTACCCTTAATGCCGTGCGGTCGAGCCGGAAGCTCGGAACTCTTGATCCCTGTATAGCTATAGATCACAGTATATGATGTGTCTGTATCAGTTCCTCCTATGTTTGTATTTATTCAAAACATATTTTTTATACATTGCCAATGGCCACATCTGCGTTGTAGCCCTGCTTGTTTGTTGATGTGCTGTGTGCTGCGAACAGGGGGTGTGCTGTGCAGACCTGGCCCACTGCTGCCCGGAGGGGTACCGGTGTAACCCGGAGACCCAGATGTGCGAGAGGCGCTGGGAGAGACAGTGAGTGCCATCAAGGAGTGTGTTTCAAAAGCATAAAAATATGGAGATGGCAGTGTTTTTAAAAACGGTTTAATGAGTTTTAGTTGCGTCTCTGTGTGCCTGACTTTGGACCCTTTCCAAGGCTTCTCGTAACTTTGCCCACTACTGAAACTTTGTAACTAATTGTAAAAAAAAAACATTCTTACCAACATGAATTATTGAATTTCCACAAGCACCATGACAGCAAGTTCTGCTGTTGCTTAATGTATTTCCATGGGTCTTGGTAAATCAAATGAAATTTGAATAAGCTCAAGATCAGGCTTCATAAGGAGCGCAGAAGCATAGCACGCAGCACACCTTGATGTTTATTAATTGAATTTGAATTTCTCCATTATGAGATCAATAAAGTATATCTCATCAAGTTTTCACAAGTGCTTTGTAAACACATCCTATGTGGTATTACCTTGTAAAGCACTGTTCTGTATGAATTGTGCCATACAAATAAATGTGCCTTGCTTTGCCAGGCCGATGCTGCGCACAGAGCAGGCTTCACCAGGGAGGCAGCCTGCGGTGGTCTACTGTGATAACTACAATACTTGTCCCGACGGCTTCACCTGCTGCAGACATCCTAAGGGTGGTTGGACTTGTTGCCCTTACTCCCCTGTGAGTATAGACTAAGATGACCCGAGTTATGTTTAGCTTTTTTATATTATTATATATATATATATATATATATATATATATATATATATATATATATATATATATATATACACACATACATATATATATACTGTATATACACATATATTTATACATGCACACAAGTTTCTAAGTCAAACTTTTAAAACTTAACTATAACTTTGTATTTACCTTCTAATGTGCTTTAGTTTTAGTCAGTGAAATAATCCACACCATAATGTGGAATGTTAGCATTCAAAACAATAATCCATTGGAAACAAGTGACAATTTATGGAGAAGTGAGTCCACTCATTGTAAGAAATAAAGTTTTTGAGATTTAAAACTGATGTAATCATGGTGTATATAATATAGATTCACTCACAAAGGGCATATCTAAAGACAAACTAAAGACATTGAGGGAAATGTGAACAGTCCATGGTATGTAAAATGAGGACTCTTGCCATGTGATTCACAAATCAAAAAGGTCCTCAAAAAATCCCATGACAAGCAATGAGACTAATGAACTTTATTAATAAAGTTATTCCTTTAATAAACTTGTTGCAATTATGTCTATTACGGGGTATCACTTTTTAAGTATGGGAAAAGTATCAAACAAAATATTTTCTGCCAATTTTGAATATCAAACAAACAAAAAATCTGAGGGTTGTGTTTCGGTGCTGTACAGGCCCGCTGCTGTCTGGACGGTTACCATTGTTGTCCATATGGCTACGACTGTGATCACACCTACTCCCACTGCGTCAGAAGGAGCGTGCCCTACCCCTTCAGCCTACCCCACCCAGCACCACTACCAACAGACGTGGTAGGGGCTGTGTGGGAACCTACTTCTCGTGAAGGCGGATCGATCCACTGTGATTCAACCTACTACTGCCCCAATGGATCCTCCTGCTGCATGGCTCCCACAGGGAAATGGAGCTGCTGCCCTTAACCCCTGGTACATACTGGCGTTCATTATAGGGGTAGCTTTAGATAAATTATTATTTCATACTATATTATTTAAATTATTTATAAAATGTATAAGCAAGTCATACAAATAAATTTCAGTACGTCTTCTAGAAGATAAATATTGACAGTAAATATAATCTCATAAACGTAACCTTTTATGAGCGCTAAAAGCCTCCTGCACAAACAGTGCACACGCAAGAACTGAACTGTTAGTTGCTATATATGTTCAGAGGAGAGTCTAAAGGCCTGTTCACTGCACATGAAACTGGAATCCAATGTTGACTGTAGAAATGTTGTTTTGTGCACATGGATATATGGTATAATAGTATATATTTAACTTGCACATGTTTTCTATTGTTTGGCCACAGTATTAACTGTTATAATTACAACCCCTGCCACTTGTAAGAATAGAAACATTTGGAATGTCGTAGTTTATAACAAAACCATTGGCATCTTTATGAACTAATTATTGCTCTGATATGTTCTAGGCCTCCTGCTGCGCTGATTGCGTCCATTGCTGCCTGTGCGGCTACACTTGTGACTCTCCACATCATGAATAATTATTTTATCTTCTGCACCAAGAACAAACCAAGCAGCCTCTTACTCACCTTGTACACTTTTTCCTAACTCACCAATAATAATACATTGAAATTGAGACTGTTCCATTAAACGTCTGAATGTCACATGCATTTCTGTTTATACTGCAACTTTGTTTTGGCGACTCAAAATAATGCAAAACATTTCATCTAAAAAGGCAATGCACACACAAGGAACATATCTGATAGTTTAAACATTTGTTTGAGAAAATATACAGGGCCTTGCGAAAGTATTTGTCCCACTTGAACCTTTCAACATGTCACCACATTTCAGGCTTCAAACATAAAGATATAAAAATTTATTTTTTTGGCAAGAATCAACAAGTGGGACACAATCGTGAAGTGGATTGAAATTTATTGGATAATTTAAACTTTTTTAACAAATAAAAAACTGAAAAGTGGGGCGTGCAATATTATTCGGCCCCCTTGCGCTAATACTTGTGAGATGTTTAAAGCTTGGGAAATCTTTTTGTATCCAAATCCGGCTTTAAATTTCTCCACAACAGTATCTCGGACCTGGCTGGTGTGTTCCTTTGTCTTCATGGTTCTCTCTGCGCTTTAAACAGAACCCTGAGACTATCAAAGAGCAGGTGCATTTATACAGAGACTTGATTACACACAGGTGCATTCTATTTATCATCATCAGTCATTTAGGACAACATTGGATCATTCAAAGATCCTCACTGAACTTCTGGAGTGAGTTTGCTGCACTGAAAGTAAAGGTGCCGAATAATATTGCACGCCCCACTTTTCAGTTTTTTATTTATCAAAAAAGCTTAAATTATCCAATACATTTCGTTCCACTTAACGATTGTGTCCCACTTGTTGTTGATTCATGACAAAAAATTTAAATTTTATATCTTCATGTTTGAAGCCTGAAATGTGGCGAAATGTTGAAATGTTCAAGGGGGCCAAATACTTTCGCAAGGCACTGGCTAAAGACCCATGTCTTTAACCTTTTAAATTAAAGACCAGCATCTGCATTTTTTGCATCTATGAAAGTCCAGTTTGGATCATCTTGGGAGGTAAGGGTACCCAAGGAATGAACAGACATTGAGAATTGGCCTTTGCTAAAACTTTGTGGTGTGATATGTGTTGTGGCAATTGTTGAGTGTGTCTTGCCACTGTAAGCAGCCTGGGCTATAGCTTTAGCTTGACCTGTGCTCTTGAAAAAATAAACAGATTAAATGTCCAGACTCACGGAATAACGGTGAAATGTGGTTTAAATGGAGGCACAGGTTTCATGGTTCCAAATGAACAGTTTCAATTCCACATCCAATGCAGTTTTCCACAAAAAAAGCAGTCAAAAAACTGTTGGGCCTAAACCCAGGTCAGCTTCCACATTATAATCACTGGTTCCCCCTACTGTCATGAAAAAGAACTGCACTTTACAGTGCCTTGCGAAAGTATTCCCCCCCCCCCCCTTTGAACCTTTCAACATTTCGCCACATTTCAGGCTTCAACCATAAAGATATAAAAATTTTAATTTTTGTCATGAATCAACAACAAGTGGGACACAATCGTGAAGTGGAACGAAATTTATTGGATGATTTAAACTTTTTAACAAATAAAAAACTGAAAAGTGGGGCGTGCAATATTATTTGGCCCCTTTACTTTACTTTTGCAGCAAAGGAAGATGGCTAAAATTGATGGTAAGATGGATGGAGCCAAATACAGGACCATTCTGGAAGAAAACCTATTGGAGTCTGCAAAAGACCTGAGACTGGGACGGAGATTTATCTTCCAACAGGACAATGATCCAAAACATAAAGCCAAATCTACAATGGAATGGTTCACAAATAGACGTATCCAGGTGTTAGAATGGCCAAGTCAAAGTCCAGACCTGTGTCCAAACGAGAATCTGTGGAAAGAGCTGAAGACTGCTGTTCACAAACGCTCTCCTTCCAACCTCACTGAGCTCGAGCTGTTTTGCAAGGAAGAATGGGCAAGAATTCCAGTCTCTCGATTTGCAAAACTGATACATACCCCAAGCCACTTTCAGCTGTAATTGCAGCAAAAGGTGGCGCTACAAAGTATTAGCGCAAGGGGGCCGAATAATATTGCACGTCCCACTTCAGTTTTTTATTTGTTAAAAAAGTTTAAATTATCCAATAAATTTCGTTCCACTTCATGATTGTGGCCCACTTGTTGTTGATTCTTGACAAAAAAAAATATTTTTTATATCTTTATGTTTGAAGCCTGAAATGTGGCGAAATGTTGAAAGGTTCAAGGGGGCCGAATACTTTCGCAAGGCACTGTACCTGGCCACACCCAAACACACACAAAATAAAGCATAGCTGCCTACCAAAACAAAATTATTAATTTAGAAGTAGCATTTTCTTAATGGAAAATAAAACGGCCTTAACAATATGTGCACAAAAAATACATTACTATCGCAATGCAGAGAAGTGACTAACACTCTTACAAGCACCAAACTCCTGGGAGGTATTTCATCCATCCATCCATCCATTTTCTTCCCCTTAATCCATTTCTGGGTCGGGGGGGTGGCAGTCAGAGCTGCACCCAGTCACAGAGCACCAGCCCATCACTGATCCTCCTGCAGGTGGTGAGTCCACAGGAGCTGAGATCTTTCAGTGGGGGCTTCAGGCAAAGTGGGGTTAAGTGTCTTGCCCAAGGACACAACGACAGCAGTCATCAGTGGGAGTCGTGAAGTAGGTCTTGAGGTGGGCTCGAACCCACGACCTTCAGGCTCAAAGGCCAATGCTCTACCAACTGAGCTACTGTCGCCATAAAAACATAAAAAAAATGTATGGTAGGAACAGGATTCGAACCACTAACCTGCGCTACTGCTGCCACAAGGGATTGTAGCGGAGAAAAGTGAGGTTGCACCAATTGAAGAGTGAGTCCAAAAAAAGACAACCTCAAGAGTCCATCTCCATGAATGTCCATGAAACATGCCCTATACGCACTCATGTCTGTGTGTTTTGGTAAAAGCTACGACTTTTTTTGGGTCAATAGTAAGAACACCAAACAGAGAAATATGCGGGCTATCCAGGCTATGTGGACGTTTCACCACTTATAAAACTATACAAAATAAAAATATCTTCCACATACATTCTCCAGCAATGCCCTGGTGCGTAGAATGAGCCCTGGCATTTTCACCGCAATTGCCTCTATATGACTGTTAACTTGTCTTTACATGCTTGAAATTTGGGTGTTCGGGTCGAACATTTGACGTTTGAAGTCGATACATTTGACGTTTGAAGTCGATACAAAATATGCGCACCGATTTGTCATACTCAAAACAAAGATGGCAGCGAGTAGTAGCAGTAGTACGCGAGTGCCTTCTTATGGAGCGTTCAGACCGCCGACGCTGGAACGCAGTTTCCATGCGCAGTAGACGCACATTCTCTAAATTACAGAGGTAATTACAGAGGTACAGAGCTTTTTGTGTAAAGTTCTCCAATAATGCAGCTCTGCAGCGTCTCTGTGTTCAGAGACCTTCCAGAGACTTTATATAAAAGCAGTATGTGATCACGGAGGTGCGCCATCAGTTTATTTTATTATTAGACAGTACCTCGGCATCGGCAAACATGCGAGCTGCGCTACATGCTAGCTGCGCTAGTTTAGTCACCTCCGCAAATCTGTAAATTGTTGAGGAAAGGACTGAATCAGCTGTTTTTTCTTTTCTGTTCCTCGTGAACGCGCTTCTCATTGAGGCTGCAGTTACACGTCTGGCCAGAGGGGGCTTCGCGAGCACAACATTTGCAAACTCCACATAGCTCCTTTAAGATTACATGGCGAGCTTAGTATGGAAGATTTTTTTGTGTCATCAGATTTTGAATTTCTTTTAGCTTGAATTTTTCCATTTGAAATGACTGAAATGTAAAGATAAAAATATTCAAACATGCTTTTTCAGGGTTAAAAATTTCAAACGGAAAAATTCAAGCAAAAAAAAATGTCAGTTATAAATGTGTTTTTTATACGGATCAAATTTGCGTCTAAAGCTATGGAAAGTAACAAAAAAATTCTGTGATCATGGTATACATTTACGACAGTTGTAACTTGCCAATCATAAAATTTTCTACCGATTTTTTCTCATTTCAAAATCCCCTGAGGAACAACAGAGAGATTATATACAGTTGAGACTCCCATATTTACATACATATAAGATATGTATGTAACAGTTCAATTGTCAGCATTGATCCCAAACGATCCAATAAAAATAGTTTGCAAACTGGCCCAAACTACAAACTAAAGATGCCACAGGGTTCAGAGAACTTGCTGATTTCATACAGACATATTATGAGGCCATGCTCCACATTAAAGTCTCAACTAACCTTAACGACTTGGAAAGGAAACCAAAAACTTGTCCAGAAGCTTCCAGACTGGGAAGCTGCAAGGTGGAATCGACTAGCCACTCAGGTTATGAAGGAAAGTGGTGAGTTCCCCAGTTTCAATGATTTTGCTCAGTTCATTTAATCTGAAGCAGAAATTGTGTGCAATCCAAATCACTTCATTCCGTGCACTCCAAACTCTAAAAATGTTTTTGCTCTCTCAGCTCAAAAAGTCAAAGCAACCGATTCATTTGCTCCAACTCAATTTGCTTTGTTATGATAATTTATAATTTCTAAATTTTTGAAGAGATTTATATTCATTACGGCAAAAAAAACAAACATGAAGGCAAAATTGTAGCAAATTGAAATGGTGTTAGTGAAAGTTAGGGAGAACAGCCTTCAAATTATATTTATTGAAATCACCAGCAACAATGATGACTGCATTAGGCTGTGCAGCCTCATGTTTGTGGAGGATCTCTCTCAGATCCTGTAGAGCTTCATTATAGTCTGCTCGTGGATGGATGTAAACGGCGCATAAAAATAGGAGGAGCGGCTTCAAACGAGCAGACCACCTCGCTTTCCCCCGTGTCTGTGCTTCCTTCGCCGGCTTGTGGTACCCAGCTCCACACCGCGGAGAGTACGGCGGAGACGCCCCGTCCCCTCGCTCTGTTGGCGGCCACAGCGCGGCCCGCCTGCCCTGCTCCACGGGCTTCTTGAGTGGGGCACTGGTGGAAGTTTATGCACCTCAGTTCGTGTAAGATCTATGACACGTCACAAACATGGTCCCAAATGTACAGAAGTGTATCTCGGTCGAACTTCAAAACTTGAACTTACGAGGTTCATTAAAAAAAGTTTTTGGAAATGTTTGTAGTTTTTGGTTGGTTATTTATCCCGTAAAAATACCTATATTGTATATCGAGAGACAGAAAATGTACCAAGAGTAGGGCTGTCAAACTAAAATTTTTAATCGAGTTAATTCAAGTTTAAAAATTAATTCATTGTAATTAAATCACATTTCAATTTAACGGCAAGATTATGCCATATTTTTCTGTAAATGGTTGTTTAAATGGAGAAATATATGACAACATAGAATAAACAAATACAGTACATATGTACACTAACAAAAAATCCAAATAAAACGGCATTAACATTACTAACATTTTCTGTAGTTGACTTCTAAGTTGTATTAAAAGCATTAAAACCTGTAATCTAATTGAAAAATTAAGCGCATTGATTCAGCTTGTGTATGAATATTTACAGCAGCATGGAGGCAGAAAGTGGCTATACCTCGTCTGGCTGTAACGGCATACACAGCAGTAAAACAGCCAAAAAGACGCAAAAAGGGAGGAGGAAAAGAGCGATCTAAAGTAAAAAAAAAACGATAAAAGAAGAAATCAATCCCGGATGAACATAGCTAGCATAACGCTACATTGCATCCTTGCTGGAGAGACCTGCTGGAGCGAGACCACCTCGGACTAACTTTGGACGTGAAACTAGCAGTAATCTTTCAGTTATTGTACTGTATATTTTGTTAGCAGTGCGTTGCTTTGGTACCAATTCATCAGTGATTGCCTGTACAGCTTTTAAGAAGTTAATGCTAACAAATGCCTTCCTGCTCTGTCGCCATCTCACACACATGTGTCCGCGTCACTTCTGAGTGTTATTATGTGGGTGGCGCAGAACAAAGGGGAGGCACGGGACAAAAAAATCGCAACCCAGATCTGATAAGATCGGTAGCATGAAGCAGGATTAAAGACCTAAAGGATTTTGTTCTTGTTTTCCCCTCAGAGAGTTGGTCATGTTTTAAAACCCATTTTTTGCATAATGATAAAATGTTGAATTAAAAAAAAAGAAACCTGTTACACTGAACATAATTACACAATTAAGGTGCTTGAATAATGTTGCACTTATTACAATCCGCAGTTTATGGCAGTTCACCAAAATTAGTTGAGGTTGACACATTACAATCTGCAGTTAGGGCTGAGGTTTATATTAATTACAAAAAAACCCTCTTATGTACCAAAGCGGGGGTCCAGCAGAAAAGGTTTGGGAGTCACTGGTCTAAACCAATGTGGACTCTGAGCAGCCTCCTGCTGGTTCCCAGAGTCAGGACTAGACATGCTACTGGAATTGAAACAGTCTTCCTGAAAATGTGCAGTAGGCCTCACCCGCTGCACTTTCGATGACTGATCTATGGTCAGACACCATAGACCATCAGTCATACTTTTGCGAAAGTATTCGGCCCCCTTGAACCTTTCAACATTTCGCCACATTTCAGGCTTCAAACATAAAGATATAATTTTTTATTTTTTTGTCATGAATAAACAAGTGGGACACAATCGTGAAGTGGAACGAAATGTATTGGATAATTAAACTTTAACAAATAAAAAACTGAAAAGTGGAGCGTGCAATATTATTCGGCCCCTTTACTTTCAGTGCAGCAAACTCAGTCCAGAAGTTCAGTGAGGATCTTTGAATGATCCAATGTTGTCCTAAATGACTGATGATGATAAATAGAATGCACCTGTGTGTAATCAAGTCTCCGTATAAATGCACCTGCTCTTTGATAGTCTCAGGGTTCTGTTTAAAGCGCAGAGAGAACCATGAAGACAAAGAAACACACCAGGCAGGTCCGAGATACTGCTGTGGAGAAGTTTAAAGCCGGATTTGGATACAAAAAGATTTCCCAAGCTTTAAACATCTCAAGGAGCACTGTGCCAGCAATTATATTGAAATGGAAGGAGTATCAGACCACTGCAAATTTACCAAGACCCGGCCGTCCCTCCAAACTTTCATCTCAAACAAGGAGAAGACTTATCAGAGATGCAGCCAAGAGGCCCATGATCACTCTGGATGAACTGCAGATAACTACAGCTGAGGTGGGAGAGTCTGTCCATAGGACAACAATCAGTCGTGCACTGCACAAATCTGGCCTTTATGGAAGAGTGGCAAGAAGAAAGCCATTTCTCAAAGATATCCATAAAAAGTCTCGTTTAAAGTTTGCCACAAGCCACCTGGGAGACACACCAATCATGTGGAAGAAGGTGCTCTGGTCAGATGAAACCAAAATGGAACTTTTTGGCCACAATGCAAAAGGATATGTTTGGCGTAAAAGCAACACAGCTCATCACCCTGAACACACCATCCCCACTGTCAGACATGGTGGTGGCAGCATCATGGTTTGGGCCTGCTTTTCTTCAGCAGGGACAGGGAAGATGGCTAAAATTGATGGGAAGATGGATGGAGCCAAATACAGGACCATTCTGGAAGAAAACCTGTTGGAGTCTGCAAAAGACCTGAGACTGGGACAGAGATTTATCTTCCAACAGGACAATGATCCAAAACATAAAGCCAAATCTACAATGGAATGGTTCACAAATAGACGTATCCAGGTGTTAGAATGGCCAAGTCAAATTCCAGACCTGAATCCAATCGAGAATCTGAGGAAAGAGCTGAAGACTGCTGTTCACAAACGCTCTCCATCCAACCTCACTGAGCTCGAGCTGTTTTGCAAGGAAGAATGGGCAAGAATTCCAGTCTCTCGATGTGCAAAACTGATAGAGACATACCCCAAGCGACTTGCAGCTGTAATTGCAGCAAAAGGTGGCGCTACAAAGTATTAGCGCAAGGGGGCCGAATAATATTGCACGCCTCACTTTTCAGTTTTTTATTTGTTAAAAAAGTTTAAATTATCCAATAAATTTCGTTCCACTTCACGATTGTGCCCCACTTGTTGTTGATTCATGACAAAAAATTACATTTTTATATCTTTATGTTTGAAGCCTGAAATGTGGCGAAATGTTGAAAGGTTCAAAGGGGGCCGAATACTTTCGCAAGGCACTGTATGGTCTCTGCGCTGTGCTGGAGTGAGGAGAGCCACTCTCACCCACTGCACTTTCGATGTGTTCGTGCTGTGTTCATCGTATTTTAACTGAGGATATGAGCTCCACGTTGAGTTGATTACAGCGGCAAAAGTGACACATGCGCCTTCCCCTGGTAAACCTTATGGGTAATGTAGTCTCTGCTCTTGGTGAGACGAAGGAGCATGCCTGCATTGTGAAGGGCACTCTGAAAAGCAGCGGAGCAGCTAAGGGATTAAAACAGATGTGCAAATGACCTTACTGGTCATAGACCAAGTTCCGGTACGCCAAAAGTACGTTCTTGGCGCTCAAGAGCCCAGTTGAAGCACTGGGTATATATGGAGTGAGGCTTGACTACTTAGGTCTATGGACCAGGCAACTCTAGTGAGATTTCCAACATGTGGTTGTGGTGAGGGATTACAAAATTATCTTCAAAACTACTCACAGGGGGTACACTCGAGTATACGAGCAATTGTGGCTACGTAATCAACGGGTCCAACACAAACAGCAATGTGCTTAGTGATACCCGAGTATACACAGGCCTTGAAGATTGATATTTATGGCATGGTCTTTTTAAAAAATGTCTTTGTAGGAGTTCTAGCGTTTGTGTCTGGTGGAACCTAGGGTAAGGGTAACTTTGGTTCCCGCAGGCAGAAAAGAAAACATTACATGCTGTCGTGTTTTAATATTTACACATCAAGGCAGAAAATCAATTGTTGGGCAATATTTTTTAGATTGTGATCACATTATTATTCTTGCAAGGCAGCCCAGGAATGTTCAGTAATTGGAGAGAATAAGCAGCTAATTTATGTGTGCGTGTGTTTGCTGCTAAAATCTGGAACAATCTTCCTGAAGATGTGAGACAGGCCTCCCCTCTGACAATGCTTAAAACCAGGTTTAAAACAGTTTTGTTTAGCTGTGCATACAACTGAGGGATTTTATATTTTTTACTTTTTAATGTACTGTGATTTTTTATGATTTTAACGCTTTCTTGTTTTGTTCAGCACTTTGAGTTGCCTTGTGTATGAATTGTTCTATACAAATAAACTTGCCTTGCCTTGCTTTTGTGCGTGCATACCCCTTACCTCCAGGTCATCCTCTACAATGACCACGTTGGAATAGCCGAAAGTATTGAAGATCTGGTTGAGGGCCCAGCGGTAGTGGCGGGCGATCTTGTAGTAGCCCTGGAACTTCCGGTGCTCTGGCCTCACCCTGATGTCGGCCAACTCGGGCTGTCGGATGTGTGTGAGCTGTTCGCCGTAGGAGTCTATGACACGCGCGGTGTCGGCGTGCCCGCAGTCCTGGCTCACAATAATGGGGTGGAGCTGCGGCGACGGCCTGTACTGAACTAGTCTGTCCAGGCTGCGCTTGACCGTCACCCGATCGCAGGCGATCACCAAGATCGGGATGACCACCTCTGGTCTGGCCGTGGACAACACCAGCGTATTCTCTTGGCCTTCACTTTGTGGCACGTTTGTAAGCTCCAGTTTCAGTTGCGGAGTGGTTGTTGCAACTAGCTTTGGGGTTGTTTTCTCCTTCTCTGCTTTTGTTAGCTGCATTGCAAACGTTACATCTACCTTCATAGCTTTTGAGTTGCCCATTTCCCGCTTTCCGATATCCTTCTGCCGTGCCCATTGCGCCCTGTGACTCTCGATTTGCCGTAGAAGCTCCTTTTGCTTCTCCAGCTGCACTTCTACCTCTTCGGCCAATCGCATCACCTCTCCCGCCAGGTCCCCGCCTCCGCTGCCTACCACAGATTTACCTTTCCTCACACCCCACTCCTCTTTCCCCACCGGCTCAGCCCCACCCCCTTCGCCCAGTCGGCCCATGGGGGGGCGCCCCCACAGGTAGAGGAGTAGAAGGGCGTTCCAGGCCACGAACAGGAAGGCACCGCAAAGTATGAAAGAGCCTTTCTTTCGAACCATGGCCCTCTACAGCACAGCGCGGTGCATCGGTGGCCGGACAGGGGGACAGCAAAAGTGGAATGGACGCGGCCGCAATCTCGCATGGGCAGGACAGAGAGACTATTTACAGGGAAAAACAGCTAGAACGTTATAGCCAATATTTACAAGTCTTTAGAGCAATAATCATGTTGGCTACGTGGAGTCCCCCCGATCCCATCAAGATGTGGCTCAAGCAAAAAAAAGGGGTCGAGGGAGAGGAGGCTTTGAGTGGAGGGAAGGTGGAATCTGAGATGTTGTCCTTCAGCAATCATCCTGAAATCAGAAAAGAAAAGTAAAAGGGAGAACTTTAAGCAATGAAGTATAAGAGTAATTTCCACTGAGAATTTGTTTTATTTTCTTTCCTTCGACTAAAACCCTCAGCTTCTCCGTTTCCGTGTCTCCTTACACACCAAGAGACACGGACTGGTGTGTCAGAACAACACACTTTTTGCCAGTCTTGTGGGGTCGTCTTTTTACCAAAGCATGTTCAATGTGAACACTACGGCCAAACATAGCAGTAATTTTGAGCCATTAATTTTGACACACTCCAGTCTTCTCCGTGTAGAAATGCAGACAGCGTTCATATAACTCGCCTACCGTTCCTACTGTTGACCTGGGTTGATTTTAGCAGAGGTCAAAAACATGGTACTAGAGCAAAAGTTTGACAAACTTGTAGTCCGAGGGGGTCCGACAACAACATCAGTTAAAGACCTTATGCCGGGTTTAAAAAAAAAAAATTGTGCATATCAAAATTGCATGACAATGTCAATCTGAAAGAGATTCCGGCAAAAAAAATCCTATATTTTATAAAAAGAACGTGTTTTTCATGAATTTAAGCTGTCTATTCTCTTACCTGCGTGTGACGTCATAGTGGGTAACGCCCATGCATTGAAAACCATGGATCTATGCCACAGGACTGCCTTTTCTCTCTTCTCTCCACTGATGCCCAACACAATACTGCACTCTACAGGTGACAATTGCTCACTACACATAAATTGCCGTTTGAGAGTGAAAAAATCAGACAAAAAAAACAACTGATTTTGAAACCTTTAGTAGTTCTCTTCTAATATAAAATTGTATTAAAACTGTATTTCTAAATAAATCAAACCCGTCATAAGGTCTTTAAATGCACTTTAAAAAGTGTGGATGAAGGAATACCATGTACACCATGGACACGTACTATCCCAAGGAGAGGAACTACCAGCATTTAGTGGAAAAAAAGAAAGCTAGGAGTGCAATATTTTGCGCATACAATTAAATCAATACAATAGAGCAAAATATTGCAATTTTTAATAAAATAATTAAACAATACAGCAGTTCATGAATGATTTTGGGCATGGCGATGGTTGGAGGCTCCAACACCCAACCAACCGTGAATATACATTTTACTCTTCAGTCCACCAAACCTACTCCTGCATTGATTTACTTTTGATAAGCAATTCCATTATACCAAATACTCATGAGTCAACAATCCACCCCATCACTATCAGCAATCACTCCCCAGTAACACTCACATGGATATTTATTTATTTATTTATTCGTTCTTATATAACATTACAGTCACATAAAGAACAGGAGTAGGATGAAGACCAAGTCTTATTTAAACCCCTACCCCAATCTTATGACAGTAAGACAACAAACATAGATGGCTTTGTGTCAAAATACAACAAATACAATACTATTTCTCACTTCATTTAACATAAGATATCACCTCCCTTTTTCTTTTCACTTTTCTTACTTTTTAGCTGCTTATTTTTTTCCGTAACTGCGGTTACAATACAGCCATGTGAAGCTAGTGCCCACTTAGGAAGTGAGACACGTAGTGTTTTTCTACCGTTTTCCTCATCATAAGCGTGGATTATACCTGTGAACGGAGATGTGCCCACGCGCTCCAATTGTTTACTATCGGGACCAGCTGATGGTGCTACGGAGAGTGGAGGTCTCCCTGGGGGACAAACACACTATTCCTGCAGAGATTCTAAGGAAAATACCCAGAGGCTGCAGCACGGGATGAGAGGTACAAGGGCGAAAGATATCCAGACCTGCGTGCCTACCGTTGTTAGGATTAGATAGCAATATGGCCTACGTGCAGGACTGTACAAGGAATCTGATTATTTTGACTATGATGTGCACTGTCTGTGTGACACGTATGTCATTCGATGTGTGACGTGACAATGGCTATATAAACTGTGTACTGACTCCATTTTGTCTGGGAGAAGGAAACAATTGAAACCACTGGAACTTGAGAGAAACATAAATAAACTTCCAGAGTTTGGCGCACCACGATCCGTCTCTGTCTGGTTCATTCTTGACACCGGAAATGTGAGGTCTCTCTCCAATAAGAATGACGAGCTAGCGGTACTGACGCGCTACCAGAGGGAGTACCGCAATGCCAGCTTCCAGGTATTTACAGAAACATGGCTACATTCAGACATTTCGGACTTTGCAGTCGCTCTGGATGGATTCCACACCATCCGAGCAGACCGCACGGAGATGTGCCCACGCGTGTTTGACAGTGGAAAGACAAGAGGCGGAGGGCTAGCCATGTTTAAAAACAACAGCTACGGCAAGCCGGAGCACTGCACTGTCAAACGGCAGGTGTGTGAGAAAGATATTGAACTTCTTGCCATCGGTGTGCGGCCATTCTATCTGCCGCGGGAGTTTGGGCATGGTATTGTTATAGCAGTTATAGCAGTCTACATCCCTACATCTGCAAATGCAGACAGTGCATGCGATGCTCTGCTCTCCACTCTCAGACGCAGACGCAGCATCCTCGAGCCTTATTTATCATTACTGGGGACTTCAACCACGCGTCCCCTGCTTCTACATTGCCACTGTTCATACAATACGTCTGCTGTCCCACGAGAGGAGACAAAGTACTGGATCAGTTCTTCAGCAATGCCAAGAACGCATACACATAGGAGGCCCTACCCCCGCTAGTCAGAGCTGATCACATCATAAACCTCCGGCCTGTGTACAAACCACTGGTGCACAAGCAGCCCGTGGTGAGACGCTTGATACGGACATGGAATACAGACAATGTCGAGGCCCTCCGAGATTGCTTTGAAAGGACCCTCTGGGACGAGCTCTGCGACCCCCATGGGCAGGACATTAAGGGCATAATGGATTGCATCACGAGATACATAAACTTCTGCTTCGAGAACACTTCGGTCACCCAAAAGATGCGGTGTTTTGCCAACAACAAGCCGTGGATTCATTCCAACATAAAGGCTCTGCTGAAGGCAAAGAAGCGCGCTTTTCGATCTGGAACAAAGAGGAGCTGAGAGACGTACCGAGACATCTAAGAACATTAGTCATGGAGGCCAAAGCTCGATACAGGGACAAAATGGAAGAGCAGCTAAGCAGACAGAACATCAAAAGGTGTTTGGGACAATTGAAGGCCATCTCAGGATTCAAACCAAAGCCTGTTCCGCAGGTGGGGGACAGACAATGGGTTAACGACTTGAACACTTTTTACCTGCAGTTCAATCCCCTTGCTCTACTGCTGCCCACCCCTGTTGGAGAGCAATGCCCCCCGGACACGGTCGTTCACACCATGGCCCACGCCTCTCAGCTGTCTCCCACCACCAGCCCGCAGACCCAGCCTCCAGTTCTACGGACTGTCTGGTCCTGCGGACATCAGCGTCAAGCTCCTACGCTCCTACGCTCCTGCGCAGATGAACTCTGGAGTGATGGAGCACGTCTTCAACCTGAGCCTCAGGCTGAGGTCTGTACCACAGCTCTGAAAGTACCCAAGACACCACGGGCCAAAGACCTCAGCGACTTTAGGCCGGTGGCTTTGACATTCCACTGCATGAAGACAAAGGAGAAACTGGTCATGGGACATCTCCCCTCCACTCTAACCTCAGCGATTGACCTGCTGCAGTTTTCCTACTGGCCGGGCATCAGAGTTGAGGACGGCATCATATCTCTCCTCCATCGCTCGCTGTCCCACCAAGAGAAACCCGGCTCCGCTGTGAGGATTCTGTTCTTCGACTTCTCCAGCGCCTTCAACACCATTCAGCCGCAGCTTCTCAGGGACAAGTTGGAGACAGCTGGAGTGGACTACGACCTGTCTGAGTGGATCTTGAACTACTGAAGAAGATGACAAAGTCTGGGATCGCGTCTTTCATTCAGACAGAAGACATGTTTTATTGTCAATGGTAGAGACAGCACGAACAACACGAACAACAGAATGCAAGTGTATTATACAGAGCGGAGGCATGGAGACCTCCAATCAGCAGCTGCCACAGTGCCAGCAGAAATAGTCAAACCATGAAGTGGAAAAGTACAGGCTTCTGCACATTGATAGAATGATGAGTTTAACTTTAACAAAAGTTGCTTAAAAGTGTGATGAAATCTCACACTACCTCATAGACAGACCCCAGTTCGTGAGAACCAGGGACTTTGTGTCTGAGGTCCTGACCTGCTGTGTGGGGGGCCCCCAGGGGACAGTCCTCGCGCCTTTCCTCTTCACCCTCTACACTGCGGACTTCAGACACAACACGGACGGTTGTGTCCTACAGAAGTTCTCTGACGACTCTGCCATCATCGGACTCAGCTCTGAGGACGATGACGCAGAGTACAGAGGAATAATACAGGACTTTGTGGACTGGTGTCAGCGGAACCACCTCGTCATCAACGCAAGTAAGACCAAGGAGATGGTGGTGGATTTCCGCAGACGTTACTCTACGGCATCAGCCCCAGTGAACATCCAGGGAAGGGACATTGAGAGAGAGTGGACTCTTACAAGTACCTGGCTGTTCATCTGAACCACAAGCTGGACTGGACTCATAACACAGACGCCCTCTTCAAGAAGGGCCAGAGCCGCCTCTACCTGCTGAGGAGTGCAGGGACCACTCCTGAAGACCTTCTATGACTCTGGTGGCATCAGCCATCTTGTACGGTGTGGTCTGCTGGAACAGCAGCATCACAGAGAGGGACAGGAAGAAGCTGGACAAGGTCTCCAGGAAGTCCAGCTC